ATATATATATATATATATATATATAGGAGGGGACAACGTGACACAGTAAGGTGTAGATAGTAAGTAATTGAACTGCAGTCAGAGAGAGACGTATTGTTGTAGTTAACGTTCGTTCGTTATTATAGTTTGTTATAACGGGACTGTTGAGAATAAGTGTATCGGTAAAGTTATATTCGGAAAGAATAAACCAGTTTTATTAAGTAAAGGCTTGTGTCGCTTAAGTTTCGTCGGTACGAAGTTACGGAAAATCAATTAAAAAAACAGAGACGTAACAATATAGTAAAATCATATGTTTGAATTGTATCTGCTAACTGTGTCTTAAAGTTTTCTAGAGTTTTTAAGACATGTTCATTATTTTTAACTATCCAGAACATGTTTATTACTCGCATTCTGTTGCAATTTAACAAATAACCGATTTAGTAATTTACTTAATAAAACTGCAGGTTGTTTCAGCATAGTATTTACTGAACTATAAATAAAACAAAATTTAATAGGAGGTTTATGTAATTTAGGTATCACGTAAATATGGTAATTCTGAATATGGATTTGTTTGAACAATAAATTTATTTTTATAGCTTTCAACAAGTTCTTAAAAATACATTTTCTTTAGACTTATTCTGCAATTTAAAAGTTTGTGTAGTATCTATCTCAGTTATAATTTGGGTGTAAAACATTTACAGACAAGGCCAAAATTACAACTGGCCGTATAGATAGGTACAATAATATATTACTCCTTTATTTTTTAGATCTTAGCTTTAAGTTTGTTTGTTTTTAATTCTTGTGAGCAACCACCTTTCCACATCTGGCTGCAGACAGAAAATGGTGGTAAAGATGCGAGAAATTGTGGACTAGAGCACCCACATCTGATCTTTTGTTTTTTCTCTCTTAATCATGAGACACTGGCAAAGTTGAGGTTAAAGTTGGATACAGGATGTAAACCAAATGCAATTTGGGTCTTAATTCTGCAAGGTTTGGATGTGCTGTGTACGATTTGCACTATCCTTCCTTTTTGGTGCATTCTCCTTTTTAATTTTTAAGCTTTTCTAAATAAATATATAGAGCTGTATTATTACCTTAAAGTTGCAATTTACATTAATTATTCTAACAGGTCCATATGTACCAAGAATTATTATTCACATTGCTAACCATTTATCTCATTATTATTCCTAAGCCTCTCAGTAACATATTTGAGAAATCTGTTTAAAAGATAATTCAAGCTAAAACACATAATGACAAAATATGGCCTTAAATTCTAAAAACTCACGAGAGAAAACCTATTTTTTTTTAATTATGGTATGTTAACCAAACTACACCTGCCATATATCAATTATCATCATTTTTATTTAAAGTTATTTAGAAATCAGATTTATTATTTTTAACACTGAATACTTAGCTGTTCATTATTGAATTAACTTTATTACTATTATTATTCACAAGAACTGGCAAACCAGCAAGCTAGCCTTCTTGTTCCTGATGCAGATACAAGTTTAAACACTTACTTACCCAGAGTTGACAAAATAACAGACGGACAGCTTGTTTGGAAAGTAGCTTGTAAGGCGCTGAGCATAGAGTACCAAATTGTCATGAAGATAACGATTATTGGTGTATAGCAGTGCCATTTGCTCTGCTCCAGCCTTAACAACATGAGGATGACAATGGCCAACTAAAAGAAAGACAATATGCAAACTAAAATAAATATATCATAAAAGCCAAAAAAAACAAAAAAGTTGTAGAGGCACTCTTTGTGGACTGAGGAGAAACTCTTGTGGTGTTCAGTAGTTTAAATATTAAATACAATTTTGTTAAGAGAAAAATTTTTTGCAAATGAATAGTGAACATAACCAGAATAAGACCATTTTTTTGAATCTCCTCTGTCACAAAGTGTAATGATCCAATACTCCTAACATAATGCATGTGTATCAATAACTTGGGCCTCCAAACGACATTGCTTCTCGAGTCCTGTCCTTATGCAAATTGACAAATCTGATATGTAAAATAATACAAATTAATAATAATTCATACATGAGCTGTATATTTTAATTTACTTTATTTTGATGCATGAAAATTCCTAAAAAATGTTTTATGGAGGACCAAATTTTGATTACACACGCACTTCATCTTACCTTTCACTTTTGCTTGAAATTTCTGAAGTTTCATTGAAATACATTTTAACTTGAATAACACCATTCACTGTAGATTTTTTTTTTTTTTAATATATATGTAAACAGTTCATTTTGTGCAAGCCTATGAAAATGACAATACACAAGGAAATACATCTTCTTCCAATGATTACTTTCAGTTTAGTCTCGAACCTTGGAGAGATCCTTGATATGGGATGTACTTATTGCTGAGCTGATTATGGTACTGTAATTAGGATGAAAATATCTCCGAGGGCTGTGTACATAAAAAAAAAAGTAGAGAAAAGAAGTTAGCTCCGAGTTCTAATAATAACTGGAAAGGAAAAACCAAAAATTACTTCTTACAAGATGTAAAAAATAAATAAATAAAATATTAAATATTCTCATACAGAAAGATGCAAAATATTGCATTTTTT